CAAAAATGGTGATCTAATAGCAGACGAAAAAGCAGTGCTAAAACGGTGCAGAAAACTGTGGAGATTTCGAAGAACTGTTGAATAAACAAAACTAACGTTACGGAATAGAAGAGCTAAGATTAGTCGGAGAGGCTGATGCAGACCTATATGCACCAACAGAAGAAGAAATAAAAGATGTAATAAATAAAATGAAAAATAACAAGGCCCAGGATACGATACAATAACCATAGAAATGTTAAGATATGGAGGACATAGATTGAAGAGTGAAATATTAAAGTTAATACTAGATACATGGAATATCGAAATAATGCCGGAACACTGGAAAATTGCAGTGATATGCCCTAATCATAAGGCAATCTATTAACATAACTAAAAGAGTTATAAGACCCATAGTAACGTATGCGTCAGAAACATGGACTTTAACTAGTGAACAACAGGAACAATTTCTTAGATGGGAAAGAAAAATTTTAAAGAAAATATATGGACCTATACAGGTGAATGAGGAATGGCGTATAAGAATAAACCACGAATCTATCTATCTATCTATACAGCCCTTAACATCCATCCTTGGATATAGGCCTCCTCCTCCTTCTTCCATGCCTCTCTATCTTGGGCAATTTGCATCCATTTTGACCCGGCGTGTTTCTTCAGGTCATCTGACCATCGCATTTGTGGCCTTCCCCTTTTACGTTTGTGATTCCATGGTCTCCAATGTATAATTGTTTTAGTCCATCTTTCATCTTTCTGCCTTAGGGTGTGTCCGGCGAACTTCCATTTAAGCTTCGCTACTTGGGTTGAGACATCTTTCACTTTTGTTTTATTACGGATCCATTCGTTTCTTTTTTTGTCTGATAGTTTAATGTTCAGCATTTGTCTTTCCATGGATCTTTCTGTCTTTGCTATTTTTTCCATATTTTCCTTTGTAAACGTCTATGTCTGAGAGCCATATGTGAGGACAGGGAGTATACATTGATTGAAGACTCTCGTTTTTAAGTATTGAGGGTATTTTGAATTCTTTAGAATATAAGACAGTTTTCCGAATGATGCCCAGGCCAATCTTATTCTTCTCTTTATTTTTATTATTAAACCACGAAATAGCACCTAATTTCTAATGAATGACAAGCTGTGACGACCTATCACATGTCTGAAACTGTTTACCTCGAGCTTATCTTGAAATTGAATGAAGTATAGAATATTTTACAATAGACCATTGTAAAGCACAGAAAGTATACTTTACTTTTTATTTAGTATCGAACATTATCAATTTTATTTAGCAAGAACCGTTTCTTGCTTAAAATTAGTCCTAAAAGCTTTTGGAATATTGAAGATTTGGAATAGACCATTTTAGAGATAATTCTTTTTCTTTCTATTCAATGTACCAATGCTTATATCCAAAACTACGTAGAAAAAGTTATAAAACAATGGCTCAAAAATGGTGTGAGTGGCGAACTTTGAAAAATCATATCTTGGATATTGTAAATCCTAAAGACATCTACCACACGTCATTTTGAAGAGGAAGGACAGAAGTTTTTTTTCTGTAAAGCATTGACTATATACCCCGTGAAAAAAGTTATGGACAAAAAAGAAATATCTGTTTTTTTTTTCTTCGTTTTTTGAATATATTTTTGTAAAAAAAAATATTTTTGACTTTAGAATTAGACATTCCAATAGGAAATTTATTTAAACAACTTTTTTGTAGATGTATATGTACGAAAAGTGCATAGAATTTACCCAAATGCACCCTAGTGCATAAGGATTAATTTTCCATTTATTCAAAAACGCACCCCTTTGAATGAATAGCACTCAGCGGTTTTTTATATTTAGGGGTTCATTGACCATAGGAAACAATAAAACGTCTTTAGCCTTTTAGTTCCTTTTAGCCCTATTTTTTTTAACATAATCAATAGCCTAATTAATGGTGTGGCATCAAATGATGCTAAAATGAGAGAGCATACGTCAAGTTAGTCCAGAGCATGTACAACGTCAAGACGCAATTCTCAGAAAAATTTGACTTAACCTTTGAGGTGCTCATGTATTATTTTATACATTGAAAAATTGTAAAACTTGGAGGTCGAAGAATGGTGGAAAGCTAGCAAATTCATATTTGGAGGATTAGTAGATGAAGTGAAGATTATTTGTGAACGTTCTAGGAGATCATGGCATAAAATTAAAAATATTTTGATTTAATGTTAGGTACCAATATAAATATAAGCTATGCAGAAGCAGAGCTATGTGTTGAACTATGATACAAACTGCAACAAAACATGTATGTGCAATATAGAATGAGACTGGTTTTAACTATATTTTTCCGTAATTACAAGGTTATCAAGTTATTATAAATGAAAGAAGTAAATATGATCACAAATGATAATTTGTTTGTCTGATATTTAATTTTAACTGTTTTCCACTTGTCAAAAAATGAGGCAGATATATTAATAACCATTATTTCTAGACATTTTAAATTTTTTGAAGGTCTTTCAAATTTGTGGTGCTGCATTGTTCTATAAATAGACGAAAGTGTATTGCTGCACGTCAGATTGAAATTAAAAATTATTAATTAAAAAAAAAAAATACGTATAGAAATTCTCTAGATATAAAAATTATCACATTTTCTCACATTTTAAAAACTTTATTTCACACTTTTTCACACACTTCTGGTTTTTGGTGAAGATCTATTTTTTACTTTGCAGAGACTAAGGAAGACTTAAAAGGAGGATTTGTCAGTTTCTATTCGCGTTCGTATTTTAACTTCAAGATTGATTGTTATCCTGCCGTCAAGGTACTGAAACTTGGTTACAAACTCCATTTGCTTAATGAATCGTATATGTAAGTGACGTCAAAAGAGAGGAAGAAAAGACGGTTTTCAAAATTTGTATTCGTAATGAGTACGAGTCAACTGACTATTAAAATATAAATACAAATTTAAAAATATAAATAGTATAAACCCCTTAAAAAATAATATATTTAATTTGTATTATTTACAAAACTGTTTATTTCTGGCTAACACGGCCCGTTCCACTGTTTATTGGTATTTTAACACAGTTCAAATGAAGATTGGAAGCTGATGAATAGCGCGTAGTTACCCCATCAAACCTTCCGACGTGAATCGATGTTATCGAAAAGAAAAGAGATAACGGTTGGCACCCGTATTAGTGTGAAATTGTTAATTATTTTTTTTTGGTTACGACTAATGAAGCATGTCCCCTCGAGATCAGGGTTTAGGTTAGATTTGACCAACAGTGTTGACGGTAAAAATTTTATTAAGTTGGGTAATTTATACAAAGATAAAAATTTCAACACAACTTCGTCAGACCACGTTCGTTAGTAAAATTACCACGACACTGACCCTCCCTGATCGGGTCACGTCAGAAAGTTTGATGGGATAAGTACGTACTATACAACAGCTTCCACCTTACTTTGAACTGTGTCAATTTACCGACAAAAGGCGGAATTGGCCGCACTGGCCAATCTTTATATTTATATATTTTGTCTTTTTCTATTATGTATTTTCTATTTTTCTTTGCTGATAGAGAACGCCGCTTCACGTTCTGTCAGATCGCACCTTTATTGTAAGTTTTGTGTGATATGATCATCATCAGATTGAAGAATTGATGGGAGTAGCATCATTTTCCGAGAACTAATAGAATGTGTAGACTCATGCTCAGACAAGACGTTCGATCTTGGCTCAGTTCACTACTACTTCGCTTCCTTTTCCCCCAAAAAACCTAATGTCAGACTCTGCACTCTGATTTTCTCGGTAATTCATTGAAATGTATAAAAGTGTTCCGTGTTTGTAGCAAGTGAAAAACTAGTGACCGACTAGTGAAAGAATATAGTGACCGTAATAAAAAAAACGTCGCGTATGAGGAACATATATAAAATAAAAAGCAATAAACACAATGGCAAATAGACTGTTACAAAAAAACTCGTTGAGATCGGTTTATACAAGAATTGAAAAAAGTTCAGATTTATCTCTTGAACTGGAATAGAAGACATGCAAACCATCTTTGTAATACTTCGACCTATTGGAATTTTTAAATGATCAATATGTATCCAGGATGCCACGAGAAACTATAAATGATGACGAAGAGTCTCAGAAGCTATCTGAGAGTTGCTGTCAGTCTTTCATGGGGTGTAATGGCTTTTCTCATGCAGATGTCTTGTTTCAGTATATATGGTGTTAGCAATTCCAGCAATTACCAATAGGCTGAGATGTTCCCTCTTCATCCCTTTGCCCCTTAGTCATTTTATCGTTATAATTGAAAAATAAAAGTTTCCTCCATAATAAAAAAACAGTCTCTCAAATAGATTCACTAAACAAACTTCACACAACTCAAGACTCTGCATTTGTACTGAGATCGAAGAGAAAACACGTGGTGTATATACACTGGACAAAACGTACATTTTGTATGCCCGACAAAACGTACAACAGAATGTATGTTTTGTCGAGAGTATACACACCACGTGTTTTCTCTTCCGGTTTCTACCTCAGTACAAATGCAGAGTCTTGAGTTGTGTGAAGTTTGTTTAATATTCAGACCTTCTTTTGATTATGGAGGAAACTTTATTTTTTCAACTATAACGATACAATCAGGGATAAAGATATGAAGAGGGAAAAAACAAGATGGTTAAGGGAGTAGCTTCTGAACAAACATTAGTACTTCCGCGTCTCGTTCCACTAAAAGAACTGATAGGTGAACCTGACGACTTATGCAATTATTTGCAAATGGGCACCTATTGTCAACTGCTAGCCAAGATTGGACCGATTAGTTCTCGCACAACGATGTTTCTTCGAACAATTCTTCAATTTCACATTGAATTTTATTTCGATTCGACAAAAAATACGTTTTGCTGTTTACAGCCAAGATTTATTGGATAGAATTTATCCTGTCCAACAAAACGTAATTGAAAAACCAGCCTTTAAGGCGTTATGAATGAATATATAGATAACAAAAGAAAATCATTCAATATAATCGAAAATTTAGCGACATAAAACCTACCTTGGACTAGTAGGTGATGTAGCTTTCTCAGTTGGTGAATATACTTTAGTATAAGTATCTTGTCTCCTAAACTTCCTATTTTCTACGGGAGTAGTAGGAATTTGTGGTCGCGGTATTCTAGATGGAGTGGGACTGCCTCCGTCTTTCTTCAGCGCCTCCTTTTCTTTTTCTTTCTCACATTTGACACAGGTCAGCAAATCAGTCGCGGTATTACAGGCCACCTCAATGGTTTCCGGTTTTTGTTCAACTGCTTCACAACTGACGTTTTTCTTTGGTGATATAAAGTCTTGGGTATCGGTGTGCCTTGAGACAGTGTAATTTATGTACTGTGTGTTTTTGTCAGTCATTTTCGTTTCAGCTTGGCAAGATTTCGTAGAAGAATCCTTCTTAAGTTTCGCCTATAAGTAAAGAAAACATAAATCTGATCGTTAAAAAAAAACAAATCTTCTTTTGTTTCAACATATCTGGAGAAAATACAATTTAGATGATATTGAGCTTTACAAGATTTTTTAATATGTATCGCCAGACACTACAGAATATGAAATTAGGATGCAAAGGAACAAATACCGTGTGATAAAGAAAAGGCGACAATGTCCCTGCTACAGATATTTAGTAAACTAGATTAAATTCATTAAGAATGTAGTTAAGAAGAAAAATGTTTAGTGTCCTAAGTACATAAACGTCACAACTGTAGATAGAAAAAAAAAATAATACTTTATTGTCTTTTACGAAAAAGGGAGATCATCTTCATCCTTTAAGAAGTTAATAGACTACAAGCCATGGGACATGTTTAAGGGGTCATTTAAGTGGTAAAGTTTGTTTAGCAAAAAAAGGTTAACTTCAATTAGTGCGGTCATAAATATTTTTAAATTTATCTGACTTGGCCCATTGTTAAGACCTTATACCTCATTCTTCTTACAGTGCCGTCTCCCTACGGAGGTTGGCAATCATAATGGCTATTTTTATTTTAGAACTTGCTGCTCTAAACAAATCAATCGATCTGCATTGGTACCAATCACGTAGATTCTTTAACCATGAGTTCTGCCTTCGGCCAACAAATCTTCTTCCTTGAATCTTTCCCTGTATTATCAGTCTCAAAATTTCATATTTTGGTCCCCTCATCACGTGGCCTAGGTATTCCAGTTTTCCTTATACCTCAGGTAAACCATTATTACCTGAAACCGGGCCTTTTATACTATTATCGGTTAACCCAGGATGTTTAGAGTCGATCCTAATTGAAGTAAACTATTTATTGCTAAACAAACTTTACATGTAGCTACACAGGTAATGTAAACTTACTACTTAGGGGGGGGGGGGTTCTTTGGTCAAACTAGCAGGGACTACTACTAGCAGGGACAATCTGTGATTTTCGGAAAATTTTATCCCCGTTTTCGGTAATTAGATACAGTACGGCATTCATACACATAGTTTCGGAACGTTGTTTGGATTACTTTTTTTTGCAGTGCCGTACACATCGGTTGGTACAAGGGTGAGAAATCTAGGGAGCAACCCTTGATTTTTAAGTAGTACAAATGAGGTCATTTGAGCCAATACGAAACTCACTGATTTGAATTTAGTTGCATAAAATAATAACATTTTTGGACATGCCGTACATTTTTCACGGTACATGTGCTTATGAAAGGAAAATTAATTTTCCTCTTATAAGTGGGTTATTACGATCAAAAAATTTAAAAAAATTTCTAGTTATTTTTGTTTTTTTTTTAAACAACTTTTTTATTTTACATTTTACACTAAAAATTAACAGAAATAAAGTTGTAGACACTTTAATTTGCTACAATTAATGTCAAATAAAATTTTCTGTAGTGCTGCTAATTTACGAGATACAGCGCGAAAATCCTTTGTACCCCTTATTACAAGATGGCGAGAATACAAGAACCCGGTCAATATGGAATAAAAATTTGGGATTGTTCGGACTCTGATACTGCTTATATTTTGAACAGTCAGATATACACTGAAATGATAGAAAAACAACGCGAAGTGAATCAAGGTTTTAGGATAGTTTTAGATATGGTTAGACCCTATTTTGGATCGGGGCGTGGAGTTACTACAGACAATTTTTTTTACCTCGATTCCCCTAGCCGAAGAACGGATAAAACATCAACTTACAATTACGGGAATTCTAAGGGCTAACAAAAATGAGATTCCTGTCGAATTTGCTCCGAATTCTGCGCGCGAAGAACGTTCCTCTATTTTTGAAATTATTGATATGGATGCACTCAATGCCTATATTACATTCACTATATAAGTAGGCGAAAGATATTTTTACAAAACTTGGCACAAGAACTTGCACTCCCAAACGTTCTAAACCGGAAACAGAATAGCAATTATTTTCACAAAATTGTAAAAACCACGATATATGTATTTCTTTTTAACAGTAATGCCACAGTATCAGAAAACCCTGCTAGGGGAACTAAACATTATACAAATCGAAGATGCAGCTTTTGTGCTAGATCACGGGACAGAAAGACTAAAATATCATGTAGTATATGCAGAAAACCCATTTGCAACATACATCGAGAACAATGTAAAAAATGTATATGCCCTGACTGTAAAAATAATAAATTTAAAGATTTTAGTTAAACGTAAAAATAAAAACAAATTATTTTAGTTACTAGTGCTTCATTGTATAACTTCCCAAACAATAATGTATAATTTAAATGAATTATTAAAGTATTTTAGTGGGGTACCATGGTTACCCCATATGGCGTAAGTTTTTGTAGCACGGTTCCGGAAAGGTTAAGCATTAAATAATCATTTGGAATTGATGTCGGACATTTTTCAATGACGTTAAAGAATGGCGGTTAAAGTCAAGGGTTACGCTCTAGATTTTTCACCCCTCTACCATTCGATATGTACTGCAATGCAAAAAAAGTAATCCAAATAAAGATCAAAAACTATGTGTATGAATACCGTACTGTATCAAATTACCGAAAATGGGGTCAAAATTTCCAAAAATTGTCCTTGCTTACTGCTACCAATATTTTTGTACAGCATTGTTAAATGCCGTACAAAAATGCATAAAATCCCCCCCCCCCCTTGAGTGATAAGTTTACCTTACCTGTGTAGCTGCCTGTACCGATAAAAATTGACGGTTGTTATTAGTAGTATTGAATTAAATATAAATAAATAAATTAAATTAATAGTATCAATTAAATTGATAATTGTACCAACCTAAATCAATTATGTTAATAATAGCAACAGTTTTATATATAATCGTATAATAATAATTACCTGACAAGCTCTGCTGATGCTATTGGATTCGTATTGTGATGCTATGGAGCGGGTTTTAGTGGTGAGGTTAAGTCGATCTTCACCCATATTGAACGATTTGCTTCTCAAATTAAGGGACGCTAAGGATATGGGCGATGTATGGCTATCTTCATTAGATTCAGGACCTACTGCTATAGATCTTTTTTGAGCATTACATTTTTCGCAAATGACATCATTTACTGTATCATTTGAAGTGCCTATAGAGTAACATTCAACACATTTCTGGACAGAAATATGAGATACTTTGACTGTGGCTAAGATACCTTTATCGACTAGTTGTTTTTTAGTTGCTGTAGTTTGCGTGTAGGTGCTGAACTTGGGCACAGCAGGGCTCTTCGTTTGGAACTGAACACCCTTATCTGTGCTTGGCTTGTGTCCTACAGTTTGCGTTTCTTTCGATACCGTGATTTTACTAGATGACTTCAAGTTTTGATTGTTAAGAAATTTAACCTTTTCTGGCAGCCACTTATCAGCGAATTCATTATCAAAAGTAGCCGTAGAAACATTCTTTGTATTAGGCGTCTGGTTACCTACTCCTATGTTTCTTGTCAACACCCCACACATTACTCCAAAATCTTTTCGTGGCGGTGGAGGTGGAGGAGATGATTCTTTTCGCATTGAGATCTCCAAATTGTTAACGTTTGTGAATGATTGAGACCGTTGTCGTTTGTAATGTTCGATATAATTGTCATTTATTGTGGTTTGATTTTTTCCGTTTTCTGACTTCAAACTATTTCGTAACCTACAATTTTCATCCTTCAGGAAGTTCAACTCCTCCTGGAACAAATTTAATAAAAACATGCAACTACAATTGGCTTTATATTCAAATTTAAAACCAGGAGAATGTGATAAAAATCAACACTTTTTCTGTTCTCTAACACCTCAACATAAATAACCGATCTAATCAAATAAGTAAAGAGAGTGCTGGAAACATATAAAATAAGCAATGATAACAAAACCAAACATAACATTGTAAGAGAAAATAATTCAAATCTTTCACATCAGACATGATAAAACAAAATGAATAAAAACTTAACTTACCCGCTCTTTTATTACTGTTGGAGTGTTTGTATTAAATTCATTCACAGACAAATGATAACAGAACCCGTACTGGGGTATGAAAGTTCAAAAGTAGAGCAGCAAAAACTGTTTCTAAACGATTATCGCTATAAGGAGGTCGACATTTATCAAGAATCAATATTTTTTTCATTAGAGCACCTGTGCAAGGTAACTATGTTAAATAAATTATGATGGAGGTTGCAGATGATTTCTTAAGTATGACAGAAATGACAGAATTCTTTAAAAATAGTAGACCAGAGAAGTAACGATTTTCCAAAGACATTCTGTTATACCGGTATCTAATATCTGCTTTTGATCAATTTGGTGATAACAATATGTGATAAACAAATATGCAAAAGATTAAACGTCATTTTTACTTATAAACAATATATAAACAACAGCTATTTGATTTTAAATACTAAAGGTGTGAAGCCCGCTAAGTTCTATGGAAGTGACACAAGTTTAGTAAAAAATCATAGACAATCCTTTAAAATGAGAGTTTGTAAAGTTATTTTAACTTGTTGCTTAATTATAGCAAAAATAGCTTCAAAAGTCGATTTTTTGAAAACTATTAATAACTTTTCTAAAAATGCCCAATAACTTTAATTTCGCGTGATAATAGTGACAATATCAGATATATTCAGGTATAAAAATATCAAGAAATTTCAGTTTGCAAAATTGAAATTGTTTATCAATTTATTATAGCCTTCTTAAAGATGTGTAATAAAGTAGTGAATTACATAAAAAACAGTGCGTTGACTACTCGACTGTTTAAAACTCTTTGTGAAGATTAAGGAAATGATTACAAAACACTGCGATTTAATACATAAGCTCTCAAAAGGAAACATGTTGGCAAAATTATTTGAACTTCGAGAAGTAATCATCTTCTTGGAACAGCAAAAGCAAAATTAACTAAGGGTGAGAAATTGCAACTTTGGAGGCGTAACATATCAGCAAACCCCTGAAATTATTCGAGTTTCCCTACAAAACTTTTCATATCAAACCATTTGGAGAGCCTAATTGAAGAGTTTCAGAAATACTTCCCAAACACTTGGATAGTATTTTCAGCATGTCAATTGACCCATTCTATCTCAACATAGACTCCCTGCCTGAATCACTTCAAGAAGATACTTTGCAAATAAAACATGATTCCTCTGCCAAACACAACTTTGATATAATGGACAAACCTTCCTTTTGGTTAAAATATTTCAAAGTGTATCCTAGTGTATCACGGGAAGCTCTTCGTTTTTACCTTTTTCAAGCACCTATTTGTGCGAAAAAGCATTTTCATCACTTGTGGCAATTAAAACAAAGTACTTATCGGAATAAATTTAATGCTGCTAGTGACTTGTGCGTTGTGCACTTACTAAAACTCAGGCACGAAAAGGCATGCTAGTAAAGAAAATGCGAGCACATCCATGTCACTAACCAATATATATTTATATATTGGTTATATTTTTTATATATAACTATATTTCTTTTATTAATAATTTTTGTATTTTATAAAAACTGATATTATTGTATCTTATGGCAGTATAAATAAATGTTTTGTTTTCTATGTAGTACTTTTGGGTTTGGGTTTGGGAACCCCTGATATAAGGTGTGTCGATAAAAATTAGGTTAACGCATTTTTGTTTCAGATGTCTATTGTTTTATTTATTCTATTTTATTTTTAAATTTATAATAGGTACTTACTAATTCTTAAGCTAAGTTTTGAAATTATTATATAATTAATACTTTAGCCTAATTTTCGTAGAAAAATGGTTTTTCAAAATTTATATGCTTATTCCCATGCTTTTTTTTTCATAAAATCGTTATACTTCTTAAACGTTTTTTTGCATTTCTTTATGCTTTTAAATCTGAACTCTAGTTATAAACAATTGTCCTATGAATTAAAAAAAATATCTCTGGTTCTATGTATCGTACAAACTTCTTCTTTTTTTAAGATGTGTTTTTTTGTAACCATTCAGATGATTTTTTGTAAAGGTAAAAACGGAGCAGATAACTAAATTGTTTATAACGCGTAAAATAGTACTTAATTTTGCATCAATTATTTGTAAGTAAACAATTAAAAATTGTTAACTTACGATCTTATGAAGAGAATCAGACCAAAAAACATTCTAAGTATTAACAAAACACGTGTACAGCCATTTGAAAATTATCTTTTTTCTCTAAAATGGGATAAATAAATTGAATTGTTTAAAAACTACTCCACCGATCGGGCCCAGCTTTCGCAAATATAGTAACTACATAAAAACTCACATTGTGAAATGTGTTTTAATTGATTTTATTATTTATTTTAATAATTATAAACAATTGAAAAACATGCTTACTTTCGGGTTTAATTTGCAATAACTTTTTTGTTTATAAACATTTTTTAATGTAGAAAATATTATATAGTCGAAAAAGGTCGCTTTTTTGCTTAAATGTTAATAAATAACCATTGACATAGTAAAAATTTCAATAGTCACGAGATGGTACGCCGTTTCTATTGAATTCCTCAGATATTCCAGTTAAAAAATAGCACCCAATAATTTTTGGATTTTTAAATGCTTCGTTTCCTGCGATAATAGTTTTGCTATGATCTGAAAAGATTTTGTAGCGCAACCAACGCGCAATATTACCCGCACCCGCCTATAATTTACTGTACAAGACAAGATCCCTTCTTTCACGTTCAGCTCCGTGCCTTTTTTTAAGGGAAAACATTGGGCCACTGATATGTATTCGTGTAAACTAATTAATTTTTAAGATACACTTTAAAAAGTCATTTATAATAAATATGGGTACAAAAAAAATTAATTTGGTCACAAAAAAACTCACCGCGTGAGTCACGTTGGTGGCCACAGGGCAGAAAATGTGTCGGTTGAACTTAAAAAAATAATAATCTGATTGAGAAAAAATATAATTATGAACCTAGATAACTAACATAAGCAATTATTAAATGGCAACAACACCAAGAAAACAAACTAATTACCTAATTTTCAAGTTCTTCATGAAAACATCTAAAACTATTTTCTAAGCACAATCCCGGATGTTCAGGGCACTCCGCGCAATAAAACAATGAGTCCTTTCTTTCTTTTTTAGTTTGCCAGCAATATTTACGCCGTCGTCGTTTTGTAAAACCATTAGCTGATTTAGGGCAATGGGATGGCAAATGAAACGTCAAATTTTTCTTGACTTGAGGGATTTTTTGGGTTGGGTCCCAAAAGACTATCACTCACCGACAATCGAAAGTCGTACAATGACATTTTTGTATTAGAAATATTATAGAAATGCGTATAGAAATAGTATGCGTTAATTAGCATAATTTGAAAAATATGTATGCCTATTTTTTGTACCACCTCATAGATTTGTGTTCGCAACTATAATAATTTCATCTGGTCGCCTAAGTCAATGCTATCTTTGTTTTTGATATATTCAGCGACTAAAAGGGGCTTTTCTTTATCAATTCCTTTCCTAGATATTGTTGGAACCATTTCATGGCCAAATTCGGAAAAGATCATTAAAATATCTCGCCGATCTTTCCATTTACACACACATATTCCTTTATTATTGTAGCACCCACCAGTTCATTTTGTTTTAATTTTCAAGAAACAACTTCGTGTGGATTTTCCACTCTTCCTGTTCTCAATGTTCCTGTAAGATAAGTTTTAACCAAAAGCAGTTTTTTACACAATGGAACACTATTATAAAGATTATCCATATATAAGGAGTGAACAGCATTTAGTTTCGAATCCATCAAATTTAGCACTACTTTTTCCGTATGATTACGTCCTCCAACTACGGGGTCACTAGCACCACTATAAACTAATATGCGTTGAATCATCCCGGTACATTCTGCCAAAGTATACAGTTTGACACCATATTTGTGTCGTTTGCCCTTGAGAAATTGACGAAAAATTGTCTTCCTCTCCATAAAATCATAGATTCGTCCAGGACTAATTTTCTTTCGGGATAATAAAGATTCTCCATGTTATTATTAAAAAAATCTAACAATGGAGATATCTTAGCAAGTCTGGACTGGTTATTGTCAATATCATTCATACGATTAATTTTTATGATTCTCACGTGAAACAACAAACCAAGAAAAATTTTAAATTCTTCTATAGTTATATCCTTCCAAGATGCAATTCTACTTTTCTCAGATTTACTTTGAGAAAGAATATCAACGGCATATAAATTGCTATTTTGAATAATCAGGTCATAGAATAATTCACATGCCAATAAATTGAAGTAATTACCCACATTAATTTTCAATCCTGGTATTACTGTAAATGGTAGCACTGTAGGATGTTAAACCTCTGAAGACCATTCAATAATATTTTGAAACTCATCATCACCATCATCATCTTCAGATTCTTCTTGTGAATTAGGATCGTCTGTCCGATCATCTTCATCACAATATAAATCTTCATCACTAGCGTCAATGTCGTCATGAGAATCTCCTAATATGTGTAATAATTCATCATTTAAGATTGGCTGAGAAGTTTCCCACCTACCTCGTTTAGAAGTCGAAGATTGGCAATACTCACAGTAAAACCAAAAGACATCCAACACCGATGGCGTATAAAATATTACTAAATGCATAGCAAAATAAACCGATGGGATTGGATTATGATAATACAACAAATTATTGGAAATGTAATATAATCTAAATGGGGTTCCAAGGAGTAGTGATGCGCAATATAAGGTGTTGCTTCCTGATAACACCTCTAGCC